TCTGTGATAGGAGTTCTGTGGGACTCAGTGGTGCAGCCTCTTTAATCTTCTAATTTAGGTGCTCTAGGGTTGTCCTTTACTCAATTTGTGTGGGCTCTCTTGTTGTATTTGGGCTTTGCTTGCTGGTGGCTCATTTATTGCTGTATCCTCCTCTCCAGCTGGCTGCGTGGTAGTCATAACTCTTACTGTGTCTTGTATGCTGTTATACAGGTATTAGTTAACAAAGCAATATTACCAGGAAACCGAACCCACACCAGCAGAAACAAAAAACAAAACAAAAAACAAACCCTACCACATCAGCAATATTAACAACAATTGAACAAAGATTAATAAAGATGGAGAGAGATTAAGAATATTATAAGACAGAAAAGAGGGAATATGAGATGACTAAAAGAGGGAAAAATGATTTTGAGTGGGAAGAGGAAGGATAAATAATAAGAGAATGGAAACAAGGAGAAGAAAGGGAGAGAAGAAATTTTAAAACATAAGTAAAACAGGGAAGGGTGGTAGCATAAATGGAGGAAGAGAAGGAAAGTGTATACTATGAGGTTTAAAGTAAAGTTAAAAAGGTATTGAACCAATGGGACTAAAACTGCAGAAAAACCACATCAGGGACAGTAACAACAGGAGCAGCCGAGTGAAGATTAATAAAGGTGGAAAGGGAACAAGAATACTATACAAAAGAGAAAAGTGAAGATGAGAGGTCTACAGTAAATGAAAATGATTTTGAGAGGATGGGGGATGAAAACTACTAATAGTAAGGAATAGAATCCAGGCTAAGAAAGGGAAAATAAATTAATTTCCTAATTCAACTGATCAAGGGCAGGGGGAAGAAAAAATGGAGCAAGGCAGGGGGAGAGTATCCTATGGGATTTAAAGTACAAACAGATAGTGAAAAAAATAGGAATTCCGCTGGAGAAGAATAGCAATAACTGTGATATGCTCACCCAAGTAGTCACAATTTATAAAGGTGGGAAGGAAATGAGACTATTATAAGAGGGGAAAAAGAATGTGAGCTGACTTAAGGAAGGAAGAATGTTTTTCAAGTACAGAAGGAAGAGAAATAGTAAGAGTAAGGAATAGAACATGCCATAGCATGGGAGAAAATAAAATTTACAGCAACAGTAAGAAAAGTCAGGAATAAGGTAAAATGGAGTAAGACCAGGGAAGGGTGCTAAGTGGGATCTGAAATAATAATATGAAAAGTATATATGGTCTGCATAAAAAGAATAAAAAATAAAAGACCAAGAGTAGTTAGTGAAAATGATTGAAGAAAAAGCAGAAATATTAAAAGGCTATGAGAAAGGAAAAAAATAAGAAAGAAACACACAAGTTCTGGAAGAGCAATGTGAAATTTGTCTCAGTTGCTGGTGTTCGCCTTCTGACTTCTTTCTGGATCAGTCTCTGGTTTTTTATCAGCTCATGGCTCCAGAGTGGGTTGTCCAACTTCTGGCAACACTACCTGTATCTCCTTCACCTGCCTTTAGAGGGAGCTTCAGTTGCGATCCAGAGGGTGGGGCCTCTGTGTCTCCCCTGAGAGGCGCTGTTAAGTCTTCTGGGAAACTTGTGGGCGGGTTCCCTCTGCCCCAGCCCTCCCATCTTAGTCTGTCCAATAATGTAGAGTTTCTGATTAAATAACTATCTGTTTCCCAGGGATCTGGCAGGCAGGGGAGGGGGGCACCATCTGTGTAAGAGTGTCAGGTCTCTCCTGCTTGGTTTATCAGTAGCTCTTGTGTGAGCCAAGGCTAGGCGGCGCCCTTACTCCCCCTTACTGTACACTTTCTGAACTTTCTTTGATGGTCTCAGTGAAATAGGGCACTAGGACCCAGTGTACTTTGTCTCCCTGTGAGTTCAAAATGGGCCCTTTTAGGCATTTGTCTTGCTGTCTTACTCTTGCAGAAATGCTCCCTGCAGTGTTGTTAAGTCTTCCCAGCTGTTTTGCAGATCTTCCCCCATTCCTGCAGGAGGTGGGGGCTGGGCTCAACCTCCTATTCCTGGACATTCTGCCAAGGATGGGGGCCCAGTCTGGCCTCAAATAATTGCAGGTGCACAGTTCCCAGCCCACCGCCCTCATAGCACAGAGGGGCCAGCACTCTCCACTGTGTACCGCTGTACCACGCTGGGGCCGAGACACCACCTCACCTTTGCACCCCTTTGATCAATCCGCCCAGCTGTACTGAGTGGGAGCAAATCACACCCACAATCCTCCCTTCTTCTTGGCAGGACAGCTCTGTACGCGGGGTCCCTGCCCGGCATGCCTCGGCTCCCCCTTTTAAAAAAGTCTCTCTGGGCACTCCCACCAAGCCACTGCCTGGCTTTCCACACACTCCACCTCTCCAAAAAGTCAAGGGTCTATCTTGGTCAAGGCCAGCTGTGGCCCTCTTCCTCCACCAGATCCAGGTGCAGTGTCTCTCTCACTCTCTGGCATCCTCCCGGTTGGCGTTCACAGCTAGGGTGTGCCGCTAGATCTGTGCATGCGTGCATGTGTGTGCGCGCGCGCACGTGCGTATGTAGCCTGGTTCTCCCTGATGACTTTGCGACTTTTTGTATCCAAGTCCCTCCTGGACGGGTCTGGAAATTCCCGGCTCTGTAATGGGAGGGAGCCTTGAGGCTGGCATCTCTGGCAAGGCTCTCCATGGATGCAGGTGACCCGCTGCTGAAGCCAAGCTGGGGGACTTTCCCCATCCACCTATGAAACCTTAACACCCGTTTTAAAGCATCCTCTGTACTCTTTGGCTTCCAAACTTTGTATCAGCTAAGATTCTGTTGACTGTTCACTTTGTTTTTTGGAAGATCAGCTGGGCATCCGAGTTGGGTCAGCTCCCACCTACTTGGTCGCCATCTTCTTTTGACACGTGCATTTATGTATGATTCCATTTAAATACATTCAAAAAAGTAAAAAAAAAAAAAAAAAAGCATAATGGTTACCTTTGAGGGGCAGTTACTGAGAAGGGCATAAGGAAGGACCTCTGGTGAATTGGTCATGTTCTATTTCTTGTTGGTGGTGGTATGGCCACTTTGTAACAATTCACTGAGCTACATGTTTATGATTTGTATCCTTTTATGTGAATACTTCATAAACAAAAAGAGGCTGGAAATGGCTGCAAGGGTGATTGAGGAAAAGGCTCCATAAGAGGCTGAGGCTAAAATAAAACAAAACAAACAAATAAACAAACAAACAAACAGAATTAGAAGCTGAGCCTGACAAGTGTGGCTCAGTTGGTTGGGTGCGGCCCTGCAAAGAGAAAGGTTGCCAGTTCGATTCCTGGTCAGGGCATATGCTTAGGTTGAGCGTTTGGTCCCTGGTCCAGGCACGTCTGGGAGACGACTGATTGATATTTCTCTCTCACATCGATGTTTCTCTTCCTCTTGCCTTCCTTTCCACTCTCACTAAAACTAAATAAAATCTTTTAAGAAGCTGAGGCTCCTGGTTCTGCAGAACCCCCTTTCATCACTATGTAAAGGCTTGGCTACTATGTTACAGAGAGATGAAATGACCTAAATCAAATTACCTGAAAATCACAAAACTAATTAATAGTAGAGCAGGGACTGGAATTCAGGTTTCCTAATTTCACAGTGCTCTCAAATTCTTGTAGAAATGCTTCTGGATATATATAGAAGAATCCTTGTCATTCAGGTACTCATTATCCTGATCCCCAAAGTAATGAGGTCATTAGGAGAAGCAAAATTAGTCACAACAAAAATATTTATGAAAGAACAAGAAGCCACAAAATTGGTCCTCATTCAAACATTCCTCCTCTGGCTCAGACCAGCTTCTATTTCTGCCAATTCCCATCAACTGCCCTTGTCAGTCATTCTTGGTGTGCATCTCCTGTGCTATGATGCTAAACAGAGCAATACAAATATAATGCAAACCAACTGCAAAGCACACCTACACATCTGATAAACGGTGTAGGATTTCATGAAGCTGGTAAAAGTGCTATTGGAGAACTGTTGGGCTTACATGCAAAGCCACTGACAAAAGGAGAATCCAGAAGATCAAGGTCAGTTAACCATTGTGGGAGAGATGCCACCCAGCATCCATTTTCCCTTTCTACTCAGTAAGACAATCCGGATTTTTCAGTAACTATATTTCTATTTTGACAGTAAATAAACAGCTGTTAATATAGTCCAAAGCTAAGTCTAAGAAATGGATATAGATAAATTTTTAAACCAAAGAGCTAAATTATACAGTCTCAGGCAATCCCCTCCTCCTCAAGTAAACATTTGATGCTGCAACCCAGTTGCACCCTGTCTGTGTAAGAAATTAGACAGTGCTTTACAATGCTATAGTCCACAGATGAAAACACATTATTTGAGGGAGTGGGAAGGTTGTTGGGAACACATTTTAGCATTGGTGAACCATGTTTAACTACCATTTACAGGCAGATGCTAGTTAAATGCACCAGTCAGTGGTGCTGTAAACATTTAACATTTAATATAAAAACATTTACATGAAAGGAACATGAATGTACATATAAAAATAGGTATATAAAAGTAAGATTCATAAAATACTGAATTCAGGCAATCACAGCCACTTAAGCACAAAGGCCAGGAAAGATGTAAAGGCATTCCCACAGATACCTACTGCATTCATGCACCATGCCAGGATCTGATGACAAAGGCAAGATCCCATCAGTCAGAATTTGACTAAAGAAGCCAAAGTCAGTATCTTCATAAAGATCTTCAATGCGTCTACTGCCATCCATATTCCCATCAGAACCACTAGATAGGCAAACTAGGTTCTGCAGTTCCTCATACAACCAACCTGTTTTTGTCCTCTTGAAAAACAGGACCACTGTCACAACACCGAAGTATTCCCACAAATCTCCTTAGACTCGTATTTTCTATAAATAACATTTACAGACAGTAATTGAAAAGTAACCAAGTAACTTTCCTTGGTGCTTTACTGGTATAAAATGTTATGGAATTAAGAATAAATAAAACCCCTCTAGTCTACATTCTCCGGCGTATTAAAATCCGTTCTTTTCATAACCCACCTTTCGCCAACGGCGTGAAGACTTTCATTAATGCGCCACGTACCAAAGACAGAACAAAGAGCTCCTCGTCCTAGCAGAGGCGCACGGTGCCCTTAACAGACTGCACGGCATGTATCGATGTCTGTTTTCTGTTCTCAATTAACAGGGACCGGAGGGCACCGCAACTTGCTCCACCCAGGTACCATGGAAGGGGGCGGGGATCCTTATTTGAGAGGAGCTGATTTCTGGCCAAGCAGTGATTCTCCCCTCCTGGGGGGCTTCGGGTTGGGCTGTGCCAATGGGCTTCCTCGCACAGATCTCCCGACACCTTACACGGCTGGCTCGCCAATGGAGGGATCCTCGCCTCACAAAGAGATAACTAGGGCAGAGCTGTTATACAAGCGACACCCGACGCCGAATGCCAGCCCCAGGAGTCTCCCACGAGTCGGACTTGAGAGTCACAGCATCGGCAGACGCGGAGGCGCTTTTGCTCGACAATTTAAAGCGACCCTCTCCTAACAGCAGCTTTGCTTGCGTGCAAAATGGGAGGACGGAGGAGGAAGAGGGTCTCGATCCACAAGGCGCGAATTTCAGCCCTGGCAGCGAGGGGCCCGAATCCCGGACCACCTTCCCCCTCCGCCGTCGGTCACACCCACCCCGGAGATACCTGTTTCCGCATGTTATTCATGACACCCATGAAGCCTGCCAACAATTTAGCTTCTTCTCGAGCAGCAAGTTTCTTTTCTGTTTTCTTCTTGCAGCTTTTCTCCACTCCGGAGGCTGCCATCCTCCGTCAGCTCGGTTCACGCCCGGGGCTCTCCGAGGGGTTACACGCCCCCGGGCGCGCTGGAGCTTGTTTAGCAAACACCACGGCAGAGACTACGGCTGCAGCGCCCTGCTCCCGAGCGTGCGGGCGGCAGAGGCGCGGCCACTGCGGGAGAACAAGGCCTGGAGGACCCTCCGGAGCTCGCCGGGACGCAGTGTCGCGGGCTCGGCTGTGCAGCCCGGTAGAACCGGAGCCGGGCGGAGGAGCTTGCGCACTGCGCTGGAGGGGGCGGGGGCGCTATGAAGCGAGCGGGGGGCGGGGCCTAGCGTCACAACCGCGCGCCGCTTGCAGCCACGCAACGCGGGGGCGCCGCGGTTGCCTTGGTGCCCGCCTGGAGCCGGATGTTTTGTCTTCCAGCTGGCCCAAGGGGGCGCGTCCCCTTCCCTTGGTCGAAAACAGATTTTACAAACTTAGGTTACGTGGTGAGAGTATCTCTCTTCGGCTAATTGGGCGGTTGAATCTATCAAAGTGTCTCCCATTAGTGTTATCTCCGTAGGAACAGGGTTGATGTTTTCTTCACTATCAGGTTGGAATGTCGTAGGCGCTCAATAAGTATTTATCGCCTTCTGCAAGTTAAAGGCGTATTACATGGAACCCAACATTTATTTGCTTGGGAGTCCCAAAGCAAGAGCACACAGTCCCGTGGATGTCTCCTTTCTGCCTGACTACTTAGGCTGGTTTGTTTACTCATCAGTGTTTGAAACTAAGGTCAGGTGTGAGCTCCAGAAATCTTCATTTAGGCTTCCCCCAAGTGTTCTACGGAAACGTGAAACTCAATCACGGAATTGATGTTAATGCTTTTTGTACTATAATAATGTATTGTTCTTAGTGTGCGATAATATGCAGGATTATTTGAAAATTTATATCTGAAAACTTTCTACAGATCCCCTTAATTTTATGCTTAGAGACATGTCTTATGTAAAATACACTATTGAAGCATTATGCTTTCTCTTGATGAGGACAAACAATATAGTCTAAGGGAGCAAGTGGCAGATAAACCTCCGTTTTTACAAAAAATAAGGCTTCTACAAAGAATAAGACATGCCTATGTGCGCTTTATTTTTTCCCTTTTAATCTAGAGGTTCACAGATATTCTTCTGTTTAAGTCAATGATTTGAGGTTTTCGTATGGACCCTAACGATAGGAACCATTTATTCCTAAGGAAATTATAAACTCGGGAAACTTTGTTTATTTTATTAAATAACCTAGGGCATTGAAGAAAAAATACATTGAAACAGTTTTCAATTGAAAGGATGTGGAAACCTGTCTTTTAACTCTAAGGCTTTGAAAGACACTAAGGATTTGATTCAAAGGCAGAAATGTAGGTGATGAGGTTAAGTGCTATTCTGTAACAAGGAAAAAGAAACAAAGAACAGCATCCTTCCTACCTTAAGTTAGAACAGTCAGTACTTTCTCATATTGCAGAATATAGAATACAAAGGGTATGGAAGAGCCATAGGATTCAGAGCTTAAAGAGACCATGGAGGTTATATTGCGCATAGGTTCAGCATATGACTTTGCCTGGGTGCAAAGTCAAGCACCCCCACTCTCTAGGTGTTCAATTTTGGCCAAATTGCTTAACTTCTCCTATGCCTCTGGTTCCTTATCTGTAAAAATAGAACCTTCTCCATGGAATTGGTATAAGGGTTACAAAAATGCGTAGATCGGTGGCAGCACAAGACAAACAGTATTACCGAGGTAATAACATTAACTGTTGTTATTTAATCCAGCATTTCCCAAAATGTGTTTCTCAGAATGCTAGTGCTATGAATCATCCACCTACCCCCAGAATAGGACTCTTGGGAATACAACATTGGGAAATAATATGTTGTTCTTGGAGAAAATCCCAAAACATTTGCATATTTAGTTTTTGGAGAAGACTTCCTGTACCTATTGCTTGAACCTAATCAGCTTTGCTGTGGTATACTGGCTTTTGAGGTATCCAGTCAGCCCATTCCCATTTTCCACGAATTAATTTTCTATACTCATAGGGAATGGGGTCCTAAAGTTGCACTTGTTCTATGGGACTTTATTATACTTGGTTTTGGCTGATTGAGTCAAGGCTGAACACCTGAGCCAAAGAAAGTCAATTAACACACAGGGGTGAAGAACATCATAGTCTCCCTGGAGATCGGACAGATGGATTTTGGTGAGCTGGCATGTGGAAGCTCTATGGGGAGTCTGTACAAGAAGCTCAGGCAGCCATCTTTGGACCATATGCATAGATAAGCAGAGAAAGGCAGTATTCTGAGACTTCAGGGAGAAAAATCAAAGCAAAAACTTAGAAGTCAGTGAAGAGCCCAGGTGGTAAGAGAAAGGGAGAGAGAGATAAAGTAAGGTTAACCAAGCTTAAAATCCAGGATCTCTAACTTTGACAGGCTTCTTTCAATGCTTGGTTCTAGCAGTTTGTTCACATGGTCATTTGGTTTTATAAAATTTACAAAAGTAAGTATTTTAAGTTCAGTCAGTTGAGTTTGTTGTTTCATTCTACTTTGTTCTTTGCCTCTATCTTCCCCCTTTTTATTATTAGGTTGTATTGGAGCAAACATGGATATTTTGGGGAACTGACTAAAGAGCAATTGAGTTGGGGATACATTTTGTTGGGATTGAATAGGATATATTTTTGTCAATCATAGTTACTTACAGGTAGTTATTTTTAGCCTTTCTGATGTAGGTACGACTTCCAGGAATAGTCCCAGTATCCGCTGTGCCAACTCTGTGCTGTAATGAAAAGATGCAGGGCCAGAAATCTTATCACAATATGCCCTACAGTGCCCAACACTGGAGGGAAATGTAAGGAGTGCAGGAGAAACAAGTTTGAAATGTATAAAGCCCGAAGCTGGTCTGTTAACTAATGTGATCCCAATAAATTCGGTAAAAAAGTAAAAAGAGAGAGAGAGAGAGAGAGTGAGTGAGAGACAGAGAAGGGAAAATAGTTTTCCAAACTTGTTACACCAACTCAAACTCCCCCAATAATGTGTAAGTGATGCTGTGGATCTATAGCCTCTCCAACACCTGATTTGTCAGACTTGTTGATCTTTATCAATGAAATGGTTATAAAATGCTATTATATTATCATTTACTTTTCTTAATCCTTGTTGGTGTTAAATATCATGTCAAATTCTTGTTAGCCATATATACTTAACCTCCTTTGAAATGCTTGTGCATACATTTTGACTATTTTCTATTGGGATATTTGGGTAAAGCTAGTAAAAACTGAACACAGCCTAAAAGCATCAAAAGGAGAGGGCACAAATGAGCTGTACTGTATAAAATGTAATATTATTCAGAAACCAAAGTGAGTGAATCAAAGTAACATGCAATGCTATGGATATCAAATTAAATAGGGAGAAAAAAGAGAGATTCTGATGGCATTTCTTCCATAGAAATAAAAAAAACTCTAAAATTTTTTATTTTTATGGAACCATAAAAGACTCTAAGGCAATCTTGAGAGAGAGTTATGTTATAAATTTATAACATTTATAAAAATCTGCCCAACCCTAGGGCTTAGGCACTTAATGTCTATGGTATATGCCTTTCTGAATTACATTTATTGTTAACATTTTTATACAGTGTGGAAGGTAATGAAGAAATAAACAAACATCTCACATTTTCTTTCTTTCTTTCTTAGGGAAGGGAGGGAGTAAGAGAGGGAAAGAGACATGGATGTGTGAGAGAAACATAAGTTGGTTGCCTCTTACATGCCCCCAGCTGGGGACCTGGCCCTCAACCCAGGCATGTTCCCTGACCGGGAATCAAACCTGTGACCTTTCGGTTTGCAGGCCAGCACGAAATCCACCAAGCCATACCATCCAGGGCTATCTCACATTTTCTGTGTAAGAAATACTATAAGAGAAGTCAAAGAAATAAAACGTGGTTCCTGGCTCCTTCCATCTCCTCCACAAAACTTAGATTCTAATTAGGGATATAAGACATGTGAAAGCATCAAAGGCATTATAGTAGCAAGTGAAAATAGAGGAGTGGTTTGTAGGCCTGCATCTTTTCATCTTATGTCCTCTGCTGCTCTCAAGAATCAGTGAATGAATGAACACTTAGAAGAAATGTGTTGATTTTGTTGGACCCATATTGTTTTCTTAGCTTTTCTAAATGTCAGAAGACCTTCATTTGTTCTTTTTGTGAAGTTAACTGAGATCATTCACCTGGAGGGAAGATCTCCACCCAGTGGACAAAGGAAGCTGGTAACAAGCTTGGAGACTTGGGGATCACATTTTTAAAAAGAGCTTTAGGTCTGGATTACGACAGTGGAACCTTTGGTTTTGGGCACGTTTATTAATGTGACAGGCAAAACATGATTTTTCAGAGTTATTTAAAAAATACCTAATGACATTGAACATCTTTTCCTATGTTAATTGGCCATTGGTGAATTGCTTGTTTATGTCCACTGGTTTTTGATTTTTTTTTTGTTTGTTCATTGATTTATAAGCTTACTTTGTTGAGGTGGGTTTTAGGCAAATTGAGTTTGAGATAATGTGTATATGAAAATGTCCAGTAAGTCATTAAAAATGCAGGATGAAGTCTCCAAGGAAAGACTACAACTGAGCAAAAGCAGCTTCCTGATTCATAGCTC